GCGGGAGGGCTCCGGCCGCTCCCCGCGCTCCGCTCTCCATGGCGCTGCCCGGGCCACCCGAGCCGCCCCGCGGCGCCCCTCGCAAGGCACCTGGCCTGCTGGAGATGGGGGCACTGTGCCTGGACTCGGAGATCATCTTGGGCTTCACGAGCCACCTCCTGCGGAGGCGAGGCAAGGTAGGCGGCGGGTGGCGCGCGGCGACGGCTGTCCCGCCACTTTGCCGCGCAGCTCCCGCGGCTCCAGGCGCAGCGCGAGGAGGCTGCAGGCGCCGAACGCGCCTGCCCGGGCCGGGGGCTTGCTTCCATAGGCCCCCTTTAGTGTGGTCCCCAGGTCTGGACCTGGTCGAGAGAGCGCAGGGGCCGAGAGACCGCCGCGCGCCTTCCTGGGGTGGGCGAGGGTAAGCCCTCCGCTGCTCCCGAGTCCCCACGGCGACTCCAGGTCCCGCGTGCACCTGCGGACTCTACGGGGTTGGGGCTCAGTCGGTCTGGACCGAATGTGAACATGTTCCGAGCGCCGCATCGGTGCGGAGAACAGAAGTTGCGGGCGTGGCGGGCATGGGTGCTGGGCCGGGACTCCAGGGAGGCAGTGTTTTGGGGTGCAAGTCGAGTGTGTGCGAGCGCGTGTGACTGGGTTAAGGTGTGTAAGCGGCGCTTCCTGGGCCGGGGGAGGCGTCCTCAGAGTAGTGGGAGGCGGGGAGCAGTGATGTCTGTCTCTTCGCGAAGCGGGGATCGGGCGAGGGAGGGGAGGAAGGTACCACGATCCGGATCGGGTCCTGCACCCAGTCTCTTAAAAGGGACCCAGATGAGATGTTGGGGGACAGCTCCCTGCCCTCTGGGCTGGGTGGAAGGGCGCGGGAGACTGTAGCTCGCAGGCCAAAGAGTGGGGTCTTCTGTCCCGGGGCTGCCCGCCTTCCTCGCAGGAGGCGAGGAGCGGATCCACCCTCTTTTCTTCGGGAGTGCGTGCGTGGGCGGGGACCCTCCAAGTGGAGGGGGCGGCCCAAACCCGCCGCTCGGAGGAAGCCGGCTTGCTTTGAGGGGCTCGGGGGCCGGTGGCGGCGCGCCGGGAGGTGGCGGCTCCGCCTGCGAGCAGCGCGCGCCTCCCGGCCCGGGCCGCGTGGAGCCTCTGCTTCGGGGCTGGGGCGGCCGGTAGGTGGCGCTGGAGTCGCGGGAGCCGGGCGGCCGGAGCGGGACTCGCGCGGATCTGGCCGGATCCGGGCGGACCGAGCCCCCTGCGGTCCGGGGACGGCGGCGACGCTTGGGGCTGGCCGGGGGCGAGAGCAACTGGTCGCCGAGGGGGCGACCTCCCAGCAAGAGACAAACAGGCAATTAATTGCCGAGAGTTCCCATCTGCCGGGGCTGGACAACAGGTCCCGCCGCGCCCCTCGGCCCGCGCCTCCCGGGCTGCAGACACGCGGGCCGCGCGGGGACCCCGACACGGAGACGCGCACCGCGCACCCCGGGCGTCCGCCTGCACACACGCGCGCGACCCACGGATGACCGAGGCGCGCGGGGAGGAGCGTGTGCGGGTCGGCCCGCGTGTGCGGGGTGCAGAGGCCCGCGAGTGGCCGAGACGCGTGGAGCGGCCCCGTGTGCGGGGAGGAGCGTGTGCCGGTCAGCCCGCGAGTGCGGGGAGTCGGGCTGGGTTCAGCCCCATCCACGCGTGACCGTGGGCCCGACCTTGCACTTCACAGCTCGGGATCCCCGCTAGTCAAGTCAGGGGTCCGGGAGAGGAGGCAGGGGACGCATGCGCATGCAACTTGTCGGGCACTGCGGCCCCCGCGCCCCTCCCCATCGCGGGGACTCACCAAACAGGTTGGGGTCCTTCTCGAGAGGGGCTGCGCGGGGAAGCAGGCCCGCCCCCGGGCCCCTAG